TTTTTTTTGTGAAATCTACGTCTTTTAGTGTCAAAACTACGTGTTGTGGTCTTTCTTTTATGTATTGCGTTATAACGTTTTGTGAAAAATCTGTACCTGATGGAGAAAAATGGATATCATTTTTCGGATTCAGCGTACAGGAATTACTGTGGAACATGTACAAATTTCAAGACAATAAAACCATCGCAGGCCTGTGTTATTGTAACTCAACATATTGATTTTATACATTATAGTCAAAAAATAATACGGAAACTAGTTAAAAGTAAGCCAGTATGTAGATACTTGAGAATATGGAACTGTCCGTTATCCTACGACGCATTCGCGCATGCGTAAGACAAGCCTTGTTTCTGCTTCTTGATTTTTAAAATCGAAAGATCTGGAAGATATTAAAATATACAAAAGTATTTTTCTGAACATTATTCTGCTTCGATTATTTATAAAGTATATATTCTTTTGTCATGAATTGGTGTGTCTTATCTACTGAAAATACAGGTACTTTTATAAGAACAGCTTTACAGCCTCGAACTGGCGAGTTTTGAGTTCATACAATCAACAATTATTAAATACAATATTGATGGCATGTTTGCTTTAACAAATAAACATTAGTTAGATATGTATTTCGAGAGTCGATAGGAATGAATTTCATCTGTAATTCTACGGTAGAATATCTAATTCGTAAAAAAAAAAAAAACTGAAAGGGCAAGATGAGATTTTTTCGAATCTCTGATAAAGTTCGAATGCCTTGCGTACACAAACAAGTGACGTAACACGTCATTTTAGGTACAATATACTCCAGTAAGTATTATCTGGTTCTTTACCTGAATTGTAAGATATTGTCAAGTGAAAAATGTTTTTGCCTATTTACACCAGAGTGAAAAATTGTTTCAGTCTTAACTCCTGATGGAATAAATAAAGTTCGTATTTTAAATAATGTAATATATTCCTTTTGACAGGCCTTAACCTACCACGGATAGCTTCTGATGGAGGCCCTCTACCTAGTGCACGCGATATCTCCGTACAAGCGACCCCTGACGCCAACGTACCTCACGAAGCTTACACCTTACTCGTTATGCAGTTTGCACAGTTTTTAGATCATGACTTATCTTTAGTGGGCTTGACAAGAGGTAGATATATCATCGCATTAAGAATTTGAAACAATCATTATGCGGTACCTTATTGTGGGTCCACAATTTGAATTTTAAATCTGAGGTATAGTCTATTTTGTAAAGTACAGACCTTTTGTGAAAATATTTATTATAAATAAGTAATTAAAACACAGAAGCAAAACATAAATGGGTCTTAATTTTTGTTAAACTCCAAAGGTAAGAAATGTGTAAGTCACAAGGAATTTGAAGTAAAATATGTAAATGCTTCAAAAGTGTAAATTTGGGTTTACTTAAACAGTTATTTGCCCATAAGCAATGCCAACAAAATCTTTTCAATTTTGACTATCGTGTTATCAGTTTTTATGCTGATACAAACTGTATACAATTCGCTTACCATTTTGTTTTGCTAGGAAACAATGGTAGTGGCATAGTATGCTGCACGGAAAACGTCCTAAGGAATCCCAGACTTCGCCATCCAGCTTGCTTCGAAATAGCAATATCCAAGAATGATCCATTCTACTCCTGGTTCGGTGAAACTTGTATGGAGTTTGTGAGGTCACTTCCGGCACCACGCCCAGGTTGTTCTTTCGGTAAGTATCTGTCAAGTCTGTTTTTTATCATCCTTTTAGCTCTTGTAAAGGAAATGTTTTGGCTATTTTTGCGGTGTTGTTTCCCACTAAACAAATACATCATGTTTTAAACTATCTAGTTTTACAGATTGCGTTTATTGTACAAAATAAACGGGTTGGGGTCATGTCAAAATATATTTCCATTTGTCATTTTATGCCTAATTATTGAAGTTCCTGTATTCGTCCAGGACCTCGCGAACAACTGAACCAAATAACGGCTTTTATCGACGCTTCGAATGTCTACGGGTCTACCGAAGAGGAGATGGTTGAACTTAGAAGCTTTTCCTATGGTAAGTTTGTTTGTAGTTAAGCACAAAGCTACACCACGGGTATCGAAACCCGGTTACTAGTATTGTAAGTCCACAGACATGCCGCTGTACCACTGGGGAGTTCAATGGTAACACTCGAACTGCTATAAACATTAAAATATGGTTTCGTCCACTCTCTGCGTCCGATGTTAGTTCTCTACACTCGAGCTGCTATAAACATTAAAATGTGGTTTCGTCCACTCTCTGCGTCTGATGTTAGTTCTCTTAAACTATAAGATTAACCCTTAACTACGGATTTATATTCTAATATCGTTTTTAATCCTCATATTAGATACTTCTTTCCTTATCGTTCGTCATTTTGAATAATCTTGTTACTGTATATACAACAATGGATATAAAGCAATGTTAAAAACAGTTGAATGAAATCACTCTTTCTTGTTTTCAATGTTTAGCGCAAAGCTAACAATGGGCTGTCTGCGCTATGTTCACCGCGGGGAATCGTTCCCCGGACTTTAGCGTTGTTATTCCGTAAATTTACCATCGAACCATCGAGTGACAACGCCCATTATGTATAGATTTTATACATTGAGTAAATTTACCATCGAGTGACATCGTCCATTGTATATAGATTTTATACATTGAGTAAATTTACCATCGAGTGACATCGCCCATTGTATATAGATTTTATACATTGAGTAAATTTACCATCGAGTGACATCGCCCATTGTATATAGATTTTATACATTGAGTAAACTTACCATCGATGATATTTTACAAAGTTGTAAATCAACCCACAATCAATTTGATGAATAAATAATAATTATTTTTTTATTTAAAATACTGATGAGGTTCATATAGATCCCCTTTAATTTTTTTATTGGAAATGCCGATTGGGTTCATGTGGATCTCCTTCCCCCTTTTTTTTTATTTAAAATGCCGATGGGATTCATATGGATCCCCGTTAGTAAGTATGAGTTTAAAGTGTATTAGTGTTCGCTCTTTGCCATATCAACATGTAGACGTCAGTACTAATTGGTGCCTAGCATCGAGGGTATTTTTTAATTGTTTGGCAAGTTGTCAACAACAAAATAAACTAGGAAATACATATACTGTGCTTCGTCTTATATCATTATATTAAACTATTTATTCATATTTCAAAAAAGGAGCATTCGCTCGCAAAAACTTTATAATAAAAATGTAAAACAGGTAAGATCGAACCTGCAACGCTCTGTATGTTACATTACACTGTGACCTTACCGACGAGGATACCCTTTAGGTTGCATACAAATCACATGTTTCTAAACGTTGATATTATCAGCTTCAAACCAACCCCTTCCCAAAAAAGTGGGCAGTAGCAGATACATTCGAGATATATTATTTCATTGGCTAATCTAAGGTTTCGCGGACAACAGCTTGAATAAGTGACATTGAACATGTGTGTGAAAAAGGAAGTGATATCTATGACAAAGACATTGTCAATGTGAAAAAACGCCAAGTTATAAAAGGAGCTCAGCCATATAAAGTGGAAATATCAGGCACACAAGCCAAGTTATTTTTATCATTAGTAGTAGTAGTAATATTATTAGTATTACTATAACGTGTGCTACATCGTTCAAACTGCAACCCTTATCTTCATCCGCTGGAATCAAAGAAGCTAAAAGAAATAATTGGGGCAACCTTCACATTGACAATGTGTTTGCTTCAGATTTAATAAAGAAGAAATACTTTATTTATTTATTGTTACATTCATTATTGTTGTTGTTGTTGTTTTCATCCTGAATTATTGGTGAAATGTTTTGTCATAAATGTGTGAAAAGTGTTGAATGTGATGAACACTTGATGTAATTAGTTTATCGCACTTCTTGTAGAAGCAGCTGAGAGAAGCCTCATCATCAAGACCTCCAATTAACGTTTCGCAATAACATCTGACACACATAGTATAGTGATTGAGTTTGAGTTTACTTAAATATCTGGGATACCAAATTCTTCATTCTTAAGTGTTGTGGATGACATTAGTTTTGTTTCACAGGACAGCTGCGTGTGACCAGGATCGGAAACACTGACCTCCTACCTTTAGAACTTGACGAGAATGTTGAATGTCAGACGTCACAAGGCAACGAAGATTTCTTTTGTTTTAAAGCAGGTAAAGTAAATTGTATTTAAATTTCTAGTGTAAGCTTCAGTATCTAAAGCTTAAAGCAATAATGTCAAGAAAACTACAAGAGTTTTGAAATCTAAGCTATATTACCCAAACAAATTTAGCTAAGAATAAATATCAAAGTCAGAAACTCAATTAATTTTAATTATCGTAAATAGTAATAAAGATTGTGGATTGTTTTTTTTTTTTTAATTCTTTATTCCTATTGGCTACGTATAATTTCTTACAGAATGTTTTGTCAAAACACGGTGATTTCGTGATTGATTCAAAATTTCAATTTACTGATGGGGAAGTTTTTCAGATGCTTTCAGTGTCTAATTATCCATAAATTATAAATATTACTCCTCGTATCAAAGAAAATATCAGTTTTTTATTTAATATTTCTTATAAAACGATTGAAAATACATTATGTAAAAAACGTGTTCGATATTGTGGTCATCCGTATTGTTATTAGTACAAGATAAGCTTGAGTGATAAATAGAATGTTGGGGGGAGACAGAGAGGAGGGGGTCTCTGATTTGCCAGTTTTATTCATCCCATCTCACATGAGGTAACTTTCAAGTCTGAAATATCAAAAGAGTTAAGAGCTATATAGCTAATGTTTTACTTACTTCGGTAATTTGAACATTTACATGTTTTTCATGTTCAAACAGATGTAAGCACGTCTACTTCAAGTAAATTACTATTTCCTTTCATAGTGAGCTTTATGAACCTTTCCTGGATAATAAATCAAGAACTGGGACATTATTTGTAGTAACAGAGCCATAACGGTATTGGTCCTCTCTAGACGCGAAATTTCTTTTATTAAGTTAAACTGGGTGTTAGAAGGAAATATTCGCTCGGGACTTAGCTGATTACACTATATTTTAACTTCTCATATGATGGTTGAGTTTCAGTTTCATATAAAGCTGTTGTTGACGTAGTATGATTAACATTGTTAAATTTATACATGGTATAACCTTGCTATGAAGATTTCATGAGAAATTTCGTAAGATTAGATAACTACAAGGTTTCCTAAATAATAATGAAACGTAGGCAAAATCTGCTGCCGAACAAATAGCATAATTATTAAAGGAAAAAACACTTTGTCATTTGGACGAAGAATATTAAGGAAAGAACATTATGTGGTTTAGAAGAAGAATATGGTTATTAAGGAAAGAACATTATGTGGTTTTAGACGAAGAATATGGTTATTAAGGAAAGAACATTATGTGGTTTATACGAAGAATATGGTTATTAAGGAAAGAGCATTATGTGGTTTAGACGAAGAATATGGTTATTAAGGAAAGAACATTATATGGTTTTAGACGAAGAATATGGTTATTAAGGAAAGAACATTATGTGGTTTTAGACGAAGAATATGGTTATTAAGGAAAGAACATTATGTGGTTTAGACGAAGAATATGGTTATTAAGGAAAGAACATTATGTGGTTTAGACGAAGAATATGGTTATTAAGGAAAGAACATTATGTGGTTTATACGAAGAATATGATTATTAAAGGACAATGTATATTTTTTATTCTCTATTTTCTACTGGCTACATATCAGTTCAGACAGAATATTAACATCAAGGTTTACATATTGCACACATATAAAAGAATATTTTGTATGTTTTGCATTTCGCGCAAAGCCACACGAGGGCTATTTGTACTAGACTAGACTAGAGAGAACACCATCCATCGCCAACTCTTGGGCTACTCTTTTACCAATGAATATCGGGATTGATTCACGACCCGCAGATTGCGAGTCGAACGCCCTTATCACCAGGCTATGCCAGCCTTAAAGGAATATTACTATTATTACTAAAGTTGCATCCTAAAGGAATATTACTATTATTAATAAAGTTGCATCCTAAAGGAATATTATTATTACTACTAAAGTTGCATTCTAAAGGAATATTATTATTACTACTAAAGTTGCATTCTAAAGGAATATTATTATTACTACTAAAGTTGCATTCTAAAGGAATATTATTATTACTACTAAAGTTGCATTCTAAAGGAATATTATTATTACTACTAAAGTTGCATTCTAAAGGAATATTATTATTACTACAAAAGTTACATCCTAAAGGAATATTATTATTATTCCTTCTAAAGTTGCATCCTAAAGGAATATTATTATTATTACTATTACTACTAAAGTTGCATCCTAAAGGTTTATGAAACGAATAAATAATACCAATTGCACCAAGAATTACTCACACGATAATTTATATTGTCATTCAAAATTAATGAATGTGGACTGCTGTGCTATGTCCATTCAGGTGACGAACGTGCTAACGAACAAATTGACTTGGCGGTTCTCCATACCATTTGGATGAGGGAACACAACAGAATAGCCAGAATTCTAGCCTACAATACGAACTGGAATGATGAGGTCCTTTACCAAGAAGCCCGTCGTATCGTCGGTGCTCAGATGCAGCACATCGTGTTTAACGAATTCTTACCACTTCTATTAGGTAAGGAATATTTTTCTATCATATCAAAACAAAAATCAACATCTTAAAATTTTCCGGTGGTCAGTAACAATAGTTCAAAGAACGTCTACCTCAAAGTGAAATGAGTTATGTTTGGTCGATTTGATTTTAACATTTTTAAGCTTCTTTACTTTTGCTCTTATATTTTTGTAAGTGCAAAGACACTACTGTTCTGCAATATGTCCATCGCGTGGATCGAACCCCAAGTTTTTGTACTATAAGCCTTCAAGCTTACCTAAGGAAAGAAACTGATTTTTCTATCTAAAGACATCTTTAACAAGTAATTTCAATTGAAAGATACATAGGTTTTCTGTTATTTGAAAGCATAATTAGGATCTAAAAAAATCACGAGAATCTTCGTTTACCATCGTTAAGTTTGAATTTTTTCGCCAAGTTACTGTATTTGTTATTGTCTTTTTCTTGATACATTACAGGTAGGAAAGTGATAGCGGCGTTTGATTTGTCGTTAACGCAGAGCGGGTATAGCAACAACTATAATCCAAGTGTCAATCCCAGCATCTCAAATTCCTTTTCAGCAGCTGCCTATCGCTATGGCCACACTCTTGTACAGGTAAGATGGTTTCTATCTCGAATACGTCGCTATGGGCACACTCTTGTACAGGTAAGATGGTTTCTATCTCGGAATACGTCGCTATGGCCACACTCTTGTACAGGTAAGATGGTTTCTATCTCGGAATACGTCACTATGGTCACACTCTTGTACAGGTTACATGGTTTCTATCTCGGAATGTGTCGCTATGCCACACTCTTGTACAGGTAAGATGGTTTCTATCTCGGAATACGTCGCTATGACCACACTCTTGTACAGGTAAGATGGTTTCTATCTCGGAATACGTCGCTATGGCCATCTTGTACAGGTAAGATGGTTTATATTTTGAAATACGTTACTATGGTTACTCAATTGCACAGGTAAAACGGTTTGTATTTTGGAATACGTGATTAGTGTAACTTTTGTTTGTAGCAATCATTAAAACTTTAATATCAAAATCATATTCAAATGCAATGCGTCTTTTTATGTTTCTACACATATAAGTAGTGTAATCCTGCTATTTGGTGATCAGTGAGGGTTTGGTTATCAAAATCCTGTTCAGGTGGGATGTTGTATTTTTTGTTATATTTCTAAACATATAAATAGTGTAATCTTGGCATGACGAGGTCAACATTATAACTACTCGTGATATCAATGTACAGTTATATAGAAAACTGAAGTATAACATTTTTTCTGACTTGTTATGGTGTGAGCGGGTTTAAGCTGGCTAATAACTATTATATTTGTTGTATCCCAGTAGGCCTGTTGAGTTCTAGTATTGAGCGAGACGCGTCATCGGCACTGGATATGGCGAACACAGTGTGGTTGAAATAATAGTAATAAACCTTGATTAACGAATGAAAAATTCATTGTTTCAAAATACAATAAGCCTAATACTAACTGTCTTATGACAAATATAATGAATTTTCTCTGAGCTATTACAACTGAACATTCTAGGGAACGTTGGACCTTCTTGAGAGAAACAATGAAATCGTGGATAAAGTGCCTTTATCAACAGCCTTCTTCAATCCATCCCATTTATACACGCAAGGCAGTCTGGATCATTTATTGCGAGGTTTAGTTCGACAACCTTCACAACGATTTGACTCGTTTGTCACTGATCAGGTTATTTACTTTTTATCAATTATTAATCCAGTAACTAAAATGTTTTCATTATATTTGATATCAAACTAAGATTGAACTAATAGTCAAGTTTAAGTTCAATAATTTAATAGAAATTTACATTTTCAGGCTTTCTCTGCTGTGGGGACTATCTTTAATACGTCAGCAATTTTAACAGTAATATTTGTTTCATCTATATTTACATACTGTATTTTTTTTATTTACATTACATGGTTGAATAATTCGAACACCAAAACATTCTGTTCTGTACATTTATATTCTTGAATTATGTTTTGACTTGATTATAGAATTTTTTTATTAATAAATAGAAATAATTATTCCAAAACACCTTTCAATGAATAGACTTTCGATTTAGACGAACAAAATAAGTCCTAAACCATGACTGCATTATTCAATGTTTAACCACAGCTGACCAACCATCTTTTTCAACCTCCCGGTCAAAAATTTGGAATGGATCTTGTTGCATTGAACATCCAGCGTGGTCGCGATCACGGACTTCCAGGGTACAATGCTTGGAGGGAACTCTGTGGACTACCCGTAGCCCAGACGTTTGAAGACCTCGCTCAGTGGATGAGGCCGGAAACAGTCAACGCTTTTAAGAAGCTGTACAGGTAGTTTGAAAGTTTTCATTCCATTTACCGAGAGCTCAATTTATCTGAAACTAAAAACTTTAATAACGCTAGTACAGATAACTGAATTTCTGCAAATATTTTATTGATAACTTTATCAAATGCTTAGCAGCAGCTTTGATTAAATTTTGTAAAAGATAAGTAATGTCTATAAATAAATATTTTATCAATATATCAAATACTTATCAGCAAGCCGGTAGCTCAGCATCAATTTTGAGGGGCTTATAACGCTAAAATTAGGGTTTTGATACAAGCGGTGCGGAGAGTACAGATAGTCCATCGTGTAGCTTTGTGCTTAACAACGAATAAACAAACACAATTAACAGCAAATATGATTCAAGTTTATAAAAGAGCTAAGTAACATACTAATCTGAACAATGCATTATGTAATAATGCAAGGACAAAATAATGAATTCGTACAAACCTTGTTTTGGCAATTTTATCCAATATTTAGCAGCAAATTGGGCTCAAGTATACAAAATAGTTAAAGGTTTGAAACGTTATCCACGAGAAAAAACTGTTTGCCAGTCTGGATTACCTCATAGTCTCCATATGTACGTGCTCGGTTATTAAAGTGAATTACTGGCTTTGAAAAATGTTGATTTCAGAACAAATTATTGGGACTAGAGACGTACTTATATTGTTTGTCTGTATAGATTTAATTATTTAAGAATGGAAAGGTTTTATGCATTTAAAGTTTTGGAACGGTTAATAGGCACTCAAAGGCTGATAGTTGAGTTTTCTGTGTGACCAGGAACGTGGATGACATCGATTTATTCCCAGCTGGTATTGCCGAATATCCACTTCCTGGAGCTACCCTCGGACCAACGTTTGCTTGTATTACTGCCGACCAGTTCCGTAGATTGAAGCTCGGTGATCGGTTTTGGTATGAAAACGGTGGTTTGGAGTCTTCTTTCTCCGAGGGTATGTATCATAACACAACCTGAAACGAATCGGTTACAACAGCGTACATTCTCGAACTTACAGAATGATGCAAGCCCTACTCACCTATGATACCTTCCTACTCACAATAATGATGCAACATCTGGCATTCTTTTACTCACGTAATGAAACAAAATAGTAAACTCTCGTACTCACAATAATGATACAGTATTACATACTCTCGTACTCACAATAATGATACAGCATTACATACTCTCGTACTCACAATAATGATAAGTATTACATACTCTCGTACTCACAATAATGATAAGTATTACATACTCTCGTACTCACAATAATGATACAGTATTATATACTCTCGTACTCACAATAATGATACAGTATTATATACTCTCGTATTCACAGTAATGATACAGTATTACATACTCTCGTACTCACAATAATGATAAGTATTACATACTCTCGTACTCACAATAATGATACAGTATTATATACTCTCGTACTCACAATAATGATACAGTATTACATACTCTCGTACTCACAATAATGATACAGTATTACATACTCTCGTACTCACAATAATGATACAGTATTACATACTCTCGTACTCACAATAATGATACAGTATTACATACTCTCGTACTCTCAATAATGATGCAGTATTACGTACTCTCGTACTCTCAATAATGATGCAGTATTTCATACTCTCGTACTCACAATAATGATGCAGTATTTCATACTCTCGTACTCACAGTAATGATACAGTATTACATACTCTCGTACTCACAATAATGATGCAGTATTTCATACTCTCGTATTCACAATAATGATGCAGTATTACATACTCTCGTACTCACAGTAATGATACAGTACCGCACACTTTCGTATTATTGGATGGATCATAAGTGTAACCTACAAATTAGCATCTCTCTTGTGTTTAGATATATAAAAGAGCGATAGACAAATGACGTCAGCTTCCGTTTTGAACTATTAATGTAAAGTTATCAGAAACCTTATAATATTGTGCTTTTACATACTCAGAAAAAAAACTGGCCTAAAATATTGATTTCTATCTTAACTGTCAAATACAGAATAGATTTTAAAGTGCAAACTTATCACCATGCCACAATAATTAAACTTCAACAATTCCAAAACACGTGTGTTACATGAACCTAATGCGATAACGTGTGTAACCATAGTAATATGTCTTGAAATCTTTCAGACCAGCTTGCTGAAATCAGAAAAACGAGTCTCGCCCGAATAATCTGCGACAACAGTGATAGTTTTTACAGGATGCAGCCTTTGGCCTTTCTGCAACCCAATATTTACTGGTGAGTAGTCTAAACAAGTGAACGGTACGCACTGTTATTGCATATTTCTTTAAAAAAAAACTAGTCGACGTCTACTCACACGTGCTTTTACAATTTAATAACATTTACATTGTGAAGTATCTCTAAAATAATCTGTTTTGTGAATCACCCTTAAGTTTAAGAATTATTACTGTTGATATTTCGGAATATTTATTTAAAGTTCTTGTTGTTGTTTGTTAACGTAAAGTATGATATTTTTCCATAATACATTTTAATGTGTTTATTAACAAATAATGATAATTATTTACAACTTTGACGTAAAGTATGATATTTTTTCCGTAGTACATTTATTAATGTGTTTATTAACAAATAATGGGTAATTATTTACAACTTTGACGTAAAGTATGATATTTTTTCCATAATACATTTATTAATGTGTTTATTAACAAATAATGGGTAATTATTTACAACTTTGACGTAAAGTATGATATTTTTTCCATAATACATTTATTTATGTGTTTATTAACAGATAATGAGTAATTATTTACAACTTTGACATTAGATTTATGTCAATATATTTAGAAACGTAAGTTTTCTGTTTCTCCAACATGTTCTTGCTTACAACAAATACAAAATAATATGTAAATAATGTTACATGAATTACAACTATATCTAGAGTCAATGAAAAATATTTTTCTCAGTAGTGCATGTGGTATAGTTACTGTATGTAATATAACCTTTCAAACAAATATATCAATTTAGTTTATTGCAAGAAAAATGACATCATCAGAGCTCTTAGCTTTATTTATTTGATTTTGAGATAATGTATAACTTTTTGGGTTTTCTTCATAGCATAGTTTGTTTTGTTTGTTTGTTGTGAATTTCGCGCAAAGCTACACGAGGGCTATCTGCGCTAGCAGTCCCTAATTTAGCAGTGTAAGACTAGAGGGAAGGCAGCTAGTCATCACCACCCACCGCCAACTCTTGGGCTACTCTTTTACCAACGAATAGTGGGATTGATCGTTACATTATAACGTCCCCACGGCTGAAAGGGCGAGAATGTTTGGTGGGACTGGGATTCGAACTCGCGACCCACAGATTGCGAGTCGAGCGCCCTAACCACCTGGCGATGCCGGGCCATATATATAGGACGATTACTATAAAAGCTGAATACTGATGTGAATTAGTGTGTTTTGATACCCATAGTGGGAACAACACAGATAACCGATTGTATAGCTTTGTGATTTATAATAAAAAGTGGGAGGATTATAATAAAAACCAGTTTCAATCTTCGTTTTTCATTATCCATATATCTACAAAATATAAATAAAAAAACTCATTTTAAAAGTAAACTTTATATTCGGGTTAATTTGATTCAAATTTTCTAAAATATTTTTCATAATCAGAGGATCTGTCCAATAATTAAAACAAAGAGATTCTAAAATCTTATCCAGTTATGTTTTAATTAATCAATATATTTAGATTCAAAACTATTTAATAAACTATTGAACATATCATTTTCAAGATATCTCTAAAGTGGCATAAGTTGGAGACACTTTTGTTCCCATTGACGTTCCAGAGATACGTTAATATACATTACCTTTATATACAAAGTAACAATTGCCTAAGATAGGTTTAAACCTTTAGTTATCACTTCTTTATTTAACCATGGATGTGATAAATCTGGGTATTTATTTAAATAATATTCAATGCTTTTATACCATATTCATATATAATATTTGGATAAAAGGAAACTACATGTATTGATATTAATTAACTGTTATTATAATTATGTCCATAATAGAATTCAGTTGTTCTGTTACCTTATTCTTCCCATTTATAGTCGGTCTACTGGAGATTTGTGGATGGTTGTTATTAAGTACAAAGCTACACAAAGGGCTATCTATGGTTTTCCCACCACGGGTATCGAAACCCTGTTTCTAGCTGCATACATACATACCACTGTGCCACTGGGGGCGATTTTTAGATTCCTCTTTATAATATAATATAAATATATAAATAGGTATCCTTAAAAAGTTAAAGATTTTAAACAAATATACAATACTTTATAAAAGAAAAACTAACATGTCCTTGTAGAATGAAGGTTTAAGTTACCTAATTATAGGCTATACATTTTGCAAATTTTAATTCTTGTAGAATGAAGGTTTAAGTTACCTAATTATAAACTATACATGTTGCAAGTTCTAGTCCTTCTAGAATGAAGGTTTAAATTACCTAATTATAGGCTATACATTTTGCAAGTTTTAATTCTTGTAGAATGAAGGTTTAAGTTACCTAATTATAAACTATACATGTTGCAAGTTCTAGTCCTTCTAGAATGAAGGTTTAAGTTACCTAATTATAAACTATACATGTTGCAAGTTCTAATCCTTCTAGAATGAAGGTTTAAGTTACCTAATTATAGACTATACATGTTGCAAGTTTTAATTCTTGTAGAATGAAGGTTTAAGTTACCTAATTATAAACTGTACATATTGCAAGTTCTAGTCCTTCTAGAATGAAAGTCTAGATTAGATATTGAGAGAATTGTGTCTTTAACACTTTAACGTTTAATAAGTAATATTTCAACATCATTATTTTATGTGATTATCAAACTGAACACTGATTTTGGAGATGTGCACGTAAAGAATTGTATTTACTGATCATAAACAATCTGTTTAATCAAATTAATGGCTGTTTAGAGATATAAAAGGGTTAGCTCTAAATGATAACTATTACTTGGCCTTATACGAAAATTATTTTATTTTAGCATTGAAGTTTGTTTTAGAAACTATTTGTTTGATTTGTTAGAATTTATGCACAATGGGCTATCTGTGCTCTGCCCACCACGGGTATCGAACCGATATCTAGCGTTGTTTAGAAACTGAGTTGTCCAAAAAAACGCAAATTTCAGTGTTAAAGATAATTAGTGTTTTAATTAATTTAAAACCAAAGGTTTAGTTATTAATTTAAAACCAAAGGTTTAGTTATTAATTTAAAACCAAAGGTTTAGTTATTAATTTAAAACCAAAGGTTTAGTTATTAATTTAAAACCAAAGGTTTAGTTATTAATTTAAACCAAAGGACTTGGTTATTAAT